AGGAACCATTAGTCCATCTTAAGTGGAAACCATAAAGAGCAGCAACAACACTAAAGACACCCCCCACCACCATAATAAAGGAGCATTTATAGACTTAAGCCCCCCATGAGACCTGTCACATGTTTGTAAACATCCCTACTCTCATACCAAGGATACCTTTGCAAGGCCTGTGCCAATATATTGTGTAGATGGTTTGCCTCCAATGATACATGACTTTCCATCTGCAGTAGCCCTGTGCTTCACTAATGGAGAAAAGTCTGAGAGGCTGATGGGTCTTTCAGTTAAAGATCTGCAAGGAAAACATTGTCCTACAACAGTTCAAGACATACATCAGTACCTGCTATACGTGTAATGGGAAGGCTGTGCACTGTTTTAAAACATTTACATGGATGTACCTAAGCAACACATAGATGCAGCAATGCAACCATAAGCCAAGTACCACCCTTCTAAGTGCACTAAAAGCAGTGGACTCAGAAAGGTGTAACTCTGTTCAGGAACAGAAAAGAGTGACTTCTGGTTTATGGCGACATGCAGGCAGTCGCATCTCCCCGATGTCCCAGGCATGCATTCTGCACACCAGCGTGTAGGACGGGGTGTGATGGGTCACGACCCTCCCCCTGGAGCCTTGGTAAAAGGCTCCTAGCCAGGGGGCTTTTGAGGGGCGACCTCTTCGCCAGCGCAATGCCAGAGAATTGAGGCGCTCCTCCACCCCAAAGGTCCTGCCACTGAGTGTCCACATGGAATTAGTGTGGCTGACCGGGACAAGCGTTGGAGATCGGGCAAGAAAAACCAATGCTGAGCGAGGCCGGTTGGCCAGCAACAAACTGTGAGTTGGGTTGAAGTTTCAGAAGGCACTGTTAATTTTTAGAGACGCTTGAAAGGGTGCTGAGCCCCGAAGAACGGCATGCTTTTTAAATCACACCAACACAATTGTAATAAGCCGTTCCCCCAAAATGCCACAATAGGGACAATGCTTTCACCAGGATGGGGATGAGAAAATGAGGAGGGCCCTTGGTCAGCAGGGATTGTTGGAGCATATGCATCCAGGCTTTTTTACCTTCACTGTGACCACAAGAACTAAACCCATCCTAGATTTAGAGTTGCTAAATCTGGGTTGAGAAATTCCTGGAAATTTGGGGGTGGAGCCTGTGGAGGGTAGAGATTTGGGAAGGGAGGGAGCTCAGCAGTAATGTGATGCCACAGAGCCCACCCTCCAAAGTGTTGGAAGTTCCAGGTGCGAGCGATGTCCCTGCCTCAGCCTCCAGACTTCGTGGCAAGAGAGAGCAGATAGCTAGATAGGCCCACTGGCCTTTCCTTCCTGTGTTTACTCTTCTGCTACTGCCCCTTCGAAATGAGTATTGTGTTGTCAGGGATGACTCCCTTCCTTCCATTCTGAATCTCTCCCTTCTCCCTGCACGCACCAAGAGGGATGACATGCTGTCCTCTCTTTGCACCATTAGTCCGATGGCCCTCTCACCGTCTGCTTCCATCATTAGCTAGTAAGTTAGCACTCTATCCTT